TCTCCCCAGCCCCTTCCTCCCATTCCCCCTCTCCCCAGCCTTCCTCCCCATTCCCTCTCCCCAGCCCCTTCCCCTCCCTCCCCCCTCTCCCCAGCCCCTTCCCCTCCCCCATTTCCCCCTCTCTCCTCCTCCTCCTCCTCCTCCTCCTCCCCTCCTCCTCCTCCTCTCCTCCTCCTCCCCCTCCCCCCTCCTCCTCCCCTCCTCCTCCTCCCCACCCCCTCCCCTCCCTCCCCCCTCCTCCCTCCCTCCTCCTCCTCCTCCTCCTCCTCCCTCCTCCTCTCCCCTCCCCCCTCCTCCTCCCTCCTCCTCCCCCTCCTCCTCCTCCCTCCCCTCCCTCCCTCCTCCTCCTCCTCCTCCTCCTCCTCCTCCTCCCCTCCTCCTCCCTCCTCCTCCTCCTCCTCCTCCTCCTCCCTCTCCTCCTCCTCCTCCTCCTCCCCTCCTCCCTCCTCCCTCCCTCCTCCTCCCTCCTCCTCCTCCTCTCCCCTCCTCTCCCTCCCCTCCTCCCTCCCCCCTCTCCTCCCTCCTCTCCTCCTCCCCTCCCTCCTCCCCTCCTCCTCCTCCTCCTCCTCCTCCCCCCCCTCCTCCTCCTCCTCCCCTCCTCCCCTCCCTCCCCCCTCCTCCTCCTCCTCCTCCCTCCTCCTCCTCCTCCTCCCTCCTCCTCCTCCCCTCCTCCTCCTCCTCCTCCTCCTCCTCCTGTAATAAATGCTCCCCTCCTATGTCTAGTTTTATTAGCCTTCTCTACTTTACTGACCTTTTAATTAAACCAAGGCTGCCTCGGTCCTAATGGGTGCCAACTCTAATGGGTGCCAGGTCTAATGGGTGCCAACTCTAATGGGTGCTGGTCTATGGGTGCCAACTAATGGGTGCCAGGTCTAATGGGTGCCAACTCTAATGGGTGCTTGGTCTAATGGGTGCCAACTGGGTGTCAACTCTAATGGGTGCCAACTCTAATGGGTGCCAACTCTAATAGGTGTCAGTTCTGATTCTTATTCTCCCTTTTTTATTACCAATTTCCTCCATCATTCTTTCCTCCTGTTTTTCCTCTTCTCTTGCCTCTAGTCTTCTTTATTCTACCCTTTTCTCTCTCTCTCTCTCTCTCTCTCTCTCTCTCTCTCTCTCTCCCTCTCTCTCAATTCTCCTCTTCCTCTCTCCCTCTCCCCCTCCCCCCCTCCCTCCACTAATGAAGACAAGAATAAAAATAAATAGTTTCTTTTCCAACATAATAACTTGGGGAAACATTTGACACAAGTTGAGGACTGAAGATTCTCAAAGTATCTCATGTTGATATTTTTACTCGTAACTAAACAGGACAAAACAGACAGACAGACCAGATACACAGAAAGACAGACAGACAATCAGAGACAGACAGACCAGACAGACAGACAGACCAGATAGACAGACAGACCAGATAGACAGATAATCAGAGACAGACAGACAGACCAGATGGACAGACAGACAAGATAAAAACAGAGAAGGACAGACAGACAATCATACAGACAGACAGACAGACAGACAGGAGAGAAGGACAGACAGACTAAAAGAGACCACAGCAACTTATGGTCGAGTCTCAGTGTGATCTTGACGGCATTAAAGCTTCCTTGAGTGTGAGGATAAACCTAGCCCTTAAGTGTGAGGATAAACCTATCCCTTGAGTATCATGATAAAACCTAGCACTTGAGGGTGAGTGGCAGAGATGGAGGCTGCTGGAGTCGGAGCAATTGGAAGTCGATACTGGAGATGACACTGAAGGGGGAGGTGTGGTCAGGGGTGCGGTTGAAGGGGGAGGTGTGGTCAGGGGTGCGGTTGAAGGGGGAGGTGTGGTCAGGGGTGCGGTTGAAGGGGAGATGTGGCCAGTGGGTTGAAGGAGGTGTGGTCAGGGATGTGGCTGAAAGGGGAGGTGGTCATTGGCTTGTGTGCCAACAACGGCGATTCTCTCAGCAATCAGCACCTACCGGGGTCACCTCAATATTACAACAGTGTGGGATTTGCTTAATTACATCTGCACACACACACACACACACACACACACACACACACTCACACACACACGGAGACTCAACGGTGCAATTACTACCACATAATTCAACATTAATCACTAATTTCTGTTTCCATTTTGTCTTAATTACCTTCCCTGGGGTTGAATAGATCGAGGCGAGGCAAGGCGAGGCGAGGCGAGGCGATTAACTTAACCCTCTGGTATATACTGTTGTGTTGTGGTTCACTGAGTAACGCTCTTTATATGCCCCGTTTAACACTCTTTATATGCCTCGTTTAACGCTCTTTATATGCCTCGTTTAACGCTGTTTATATGCCTCGTTTAACACTCTTTATATGCCCCGTTTAACGCTGTTTATATGCCTCGTTTAACGCTGTTTATATGCCTCGTTTAACACTCTTTATATGCCTCGTTTAACACGCTTTATATGCCTCGTTTAACACTCTTTATATGCCTCGTTTAACGCTCTTTATATGCCTCGTTTAATGCTCTTTATATGCTTCGTTTAACACTCTTTATATGCCTCGTTTAATACTCTTTATATGCCTCGTTTAACCCTCTTTATATGCCTCGTGTAACGCTCTTTATATGCCTTGTTTAACGCTCTTTATATGCCTTGTTTAACACTCTTTATATGCCTCCTTTAACGCTCTCATTTAACCCTATATAACACACTTCATATATTGAAATATTGGCTCGTCTTGTTCTTATAGGAGATGAAGAGTGTTAGACTCTCTCTCTCTCTCTCTCTCTCTCTCTCTCTCTCTCTCTCTCTCTGTCTTCTTATTACAGTTTTCTTTCAGTATTCTTTATCTTGTTTCATATCTGTTGATGTTATCGTCAAGTTGAATCATTAGCGTAATATTTAGACACAAAGTTAACTTGTTCGGATCTCAGAAACGAAGCTGTCCCGATCTACTGCCTGTATGATTCAGAAATAATAAATAAACAAATACACAATAAATAGAATATGACTCCAAGTTCGAACTCTTGAAGTGAAACAGTCTCGAACACAGTGTTAATTTGACACCTGTGTTATATCAAAATACTGATAATATTGAATGATTTTTACACACACTGAGATATGATAATAGGTAATTATATTGAATATCTTATAGTGATGAACGACGCCTATAATAGTGAGAGAATAATAGTGAATAACATATGGCTGGCTGATGGTTCGGACCCCCTGGAGTGTGAAGCTATCTCGACCCGGCGCCACACTCGGTCCCTCCCTCCCACAAGGCGTAATATATGTGACCTCAACGACAGATCGAGGTCCTTCTCCTGTGGGGGTGATCAGCGACATGTTCCCCGCCACGCCGCTGCTGCTCCTGGTGAGAGAGAGATTGACCACCCACCGAACAAAACATTGGCTTTGAGTGGTTGGCCGCCGACCCTCTCCTTATGGTGTTGTGTCAGATCATCCCATTGTCTCTCTCTCTCTCTCTCTCTCTCTCTCTCTCTCTCTCTCTCTCTCTCTCTTGTCTCCTCAACCTCCTCTTCCTTCCCGTTCTCCTCCCTCCTTATCGCCTTATCCCTCATCAACATATTTCTCAGGTGATTCCTTCCTCCCTCTTACTTCTTCTTCATTCCTCTTACAAACCTCCTTTCTTCCCGTCTTTATTCAGTCTTCTCCTCTTCATTGCTTCTTCCCCTTCCCATTTTATATTTTCCTCTCTCCCTCCCTTCCTTCCTCTTCCTTCCTTCCTTCCTTCCTTCCTTCCTTCTCTCCTTCCTTCCTTCCTTCTGTCCGCCCTGGGAGGTGTGTTGCCTGTCGACCATCAACAGATTTATCGCGTGTCAATAAGCTGAAGAGGAGGACCACGTTCTCTCTCTCTCTCTCTCTCCCCTCCACCTCCACCTCCCCACCACCCCCCGACCCCTCCCACCCCCTCCTCGCTCTGTGCCACTATTAGCATTCAAATTCGCGCCATTAGAAGCCATAACCGAGCCTCTCAGGACCTGGCTGTACGAAGGCCCCAACACTCCACGTGGAGGATTCCACACACACACACACACACACACATTTTCATCTATTTACAACCCGGAGTTCAAGGAGAGAAAAATGAGAGTGGAAGGTGTGTGGGGAGGGAGCTCAGGAAGTGTCCAGTGGATTATGTCTGGGAACTTGTCCTAACTTATAGTGAAGGTGTGTGTGTGTGTGTGTGTGTATGTGTGTGTGTGTGTGTGTGTGTGTGTGTGTGTGTGTGTGTGTGTGTGTGTGTGTGTGTGTGTGTGTGTGTGTGTGTGTGTGTGTGTGTGTGTGTGTGTGTGTGTGTGTGTGTGTGTGTGTGTGTGTTTTACCAACCACACACACACCCCTATATAGTTAAATAATAAATTAATCTCGTAAAATATTTCAGTATATTCTCCTCATAATGTTCTTACTCACCTTGATTACAACATTCAGACTTTTTTTTAGCGATTTTTTCTTTTCTTTTTAGTTTTAGCGATATTGAGCTTTCTATTTTTTTTAGCGAAGTTGGGTTTTTTATCGCTATTATTTGAACGAGATATCGCTCTCTTTTTTTCCCCCAGTCACTAAATTAACATCACTAAATTGTCTTATATGTTTGTTTGTTTTTTAATAGGAAAATTGAGTTCTGTTTTATATATCTGAATTGTGTTGTTCAATTTTTTTTTTATATTGATATTACGTTTTGTGTTCAGTTAGTTAAAGTGTGTCTGTCTATTATTCGTCTCTCTTTTGTTTCTTGTAGGGGACTTCTCTCTCTCTCTCTCTCAGATCCCTTATTTAGTGTCAGATCCTTATAAAGTATCAGATCTCTTATATACTGTCAGATCCTTATAGATGATTTATTCAATCCTTATAAAGTATCAGATGACTTATATACTGTCAGATCCCCTTATTTAGTGTCAGATCCCCTTATAAAGTATCAGATGTCTTTATATACTGTCAGATCCCCTTATATACTGTCAGATCCCCTTATTTAGTGTCAGATCCCCTTATAAAGTATCAGATCTCTTTATATACTGTCAGATCCCTTTTATAACACCCTCAAAACCCTCTGTAACACCACCTGAGAATCACAACAAGTCGCCACCTGCTGATCTCTTACTCGAAGAAGGTAATTTCCCCGGAGACTCGCCAACGGTGCGCCAAATCCCGCCAACGTGGCTATTTTCCCCCTCCTTGTCCTCCGCCCAGCCTCCAGATGTTAGCCCCGTTGACCTGTCCCAAAGCCCCCAGCGCACTCTGTCCTCCAGATGTTACCTGCTGACCTGTCCCAAAGCCCCCAGCACCCCTCCCCCTGTCCTCCGCCTAGCCTCCAGATGTTAGCCCTGCTGACCTGTCCCAAAGCCCCCCAGCACCCCCCTGTCCTCCTCCGCCTAGCCTCCAGATGTTAGCCCTGTTGACCTGTCCTAAAGTTTTCTCCCCAGCACACCCCCACTCGTCGCAATTCATTGGTATCCTCATTCAAAACCTATAGTCCTCAAAGCGTTTCGACCTGTTGTGTCGTATCTGAGAAATGTTGTTGTGAAAGTTCTCCTCTCACGCCCTAAAGAGAAAGTTTGCCAAGTTGTTTTATATATATTGTGTGTGTGTGTGTGTGTTTTGTGAGGAATGATGAACAAAAAAAATTATGATGATGATACTACGTAACTACTACTATTACTACTACTACTACTACTACTACTACTACTACTACTACTACTACTACTACTGCTGCTGCTACTAACTACTACTACTACTTCTACTACTACTACTACTACTACTGCTGCTACTAACTACTACTACTTTATTGTTTATGGTCGAGGCAGCCTCTGGTCGGCCCTCTGGTGCGTGATATAAAATAATATCCGATATTCCTTAACCACGACCCAGCTAGAGGAGGAGGAGGAAGGAAGGAAGGAAGGAAGGAGAAGAACAAAGGGAGAAGGAAGGAAGGAGAAGAACAAAGGGAGGAGGAAGGAAGGAGAAGGACAAAAGGGGAAGGGGAAGAGGAGGAGTAGGAATGAGAGAAGCAAAATGAGGAAAGAGGAGGATGAAGAATGGGAGAAGGAGGAGGAGGAGGGGAAAGGAGAAGAAGAAGAAGAAGAAGAATTAAGAAGTAATTGAGGTTAAGTTAATAATAATCTAAGCTGGTGTTGGTCACATTACAACCATAATAACAACAACTAAATATCATGGTGAGTGGCCCAGGTAGGGAAGGAGGGAGAAGGAGGAGGTATTGGATAATCGAGGAAAAGAGCTCCTTGGTGAGACCAGTGCCTCCTCCCCCCCCTCTCTCTCTCTCATAACCAAACTGTACCCGCGAAGGAAAAACAACCTTATTTTAGATCTTTTCAGTGGTGCTGGTAGTGGTGGTGGTAGTAATGGTGGTAGTAGTGGTGGTGGTGGTAGTAGTAGTAATATTGTAATAGTAGGAGTTAGTGGTGATCGTGATAGTAGTAGAAGTGGTGATAGGAACTGGTGGTAATAGTGGTAGAGATAGGTAATAGTGGTAGAGATGGTGGTAGTGGTGGTAGTAATGGTGGTGGTGTTTCCCGCCACATGTTTTACAAGAGATAAATTCGTGTTGTGTACCAAACTTTAGCAATTAGCGCCTCCCTCCCTCCCTCCCTCTCACACTGCTAAAAAAACCGCACACAACCCACCACCGCCTTTCTCACACTCCCTCCCTCCTTCCCTCCCTCCATCCTTCTCTTTATCCCTCCTTCCTTGAGACGATACCACTCCCCTGCCTCACTTGCGATACAAAGATGGATTCTCAGAGTGTTTCCTAAGTTAGTGTTGTCATCCCACTACTGTGATATGTTATACATTATGACGATATATATATATATGGTGTCCAAGGTGTGCTCAGACGCTTCCCTATCTTGTACTGTCTGTCTGTCTGTCACAGCTTAGTCGCCCCCCCACACACACACCGAGGTCGTCCCCACCCCCACACACGTAGGCCCTACCCCCCCCACACACAAACACATCTAGGCCCCCACCCTCACACGTAGAGCCCCTACCCCCCACACACACACCTAGGTCCCACCCCTACACACCTAAGCCCCACCCCTACACACCCCATCCCTACACACTAGCCCACCCCTACACACCTAGGCCCCACCCCACACACCTAAGTCCCCACCCCTACACACCTGGGCCCCACCCCACACACACCTAAGCCCCACCCCTACACACAGGCCCCCACCCCACACACCTAAGCCCCACCCCTACATACCTGGGCCCCACCCCACACACCTAAGCCCCACCCCTACACATCTAGGCCCCACCCCCACAACTCGCTCCGTGTACACTTTGGTGGTTGGAAAGTTTAGCAATTAGTGTTATCTGACCGCTAACTGTGACCTGTTAGTTTTTATGGTTCATGCTCAAGAAACAACGACCAGCTGCTGGTCTATTGGGCTCAGCTTAGGTCAGCTTACGTCATCTTGGGTCATGGGTCATTTTAGTTTCTGAAATCTCTTGACCTCTCGAGTTATTGTTGTTTTAATTTGAGAATGTTGTTGTTTTGCTCTCTCTCTCTCTCTCTCTCTCTCTCTCTCTTTGTCTGGGAGAGAACTAGAAAGAAAGAAAAGGTAAGAAGTACAGAGAAAGAGACAGACAGAGACAGACAGACAGACAATAACCCCGTATTACGCAATCAAAGATCCTGAGAGAGCCTGAGTCAGCTAACATAGCCTCCTTACCTCCCTCGAGATGACACTGATATGACACGGCCTTGACACTCACCTACTTCCTGTACCACGGCTTTGACTCACATACCTCTCTCTCTCTCTCTCTCCGGTTCATTTCTTCCTGTTCCTCGCCATTCAGGGTAAGGCTAATTGAACTAACCAATTATATCCTCGTCCACAGGATCACACATGTTGACATTGGTGGTCCGGGATCCAGGAAAGATGACGTCACCCAGCAGATTCCACCCACTTACCATCCTCGCTCTGCTATTGGCTGTACATGTCGCTAGCCCCGCCCCTACACGTTAGTACATGGTTGTGTTGTGCATGAAAACATTATCTGGTAAACACCTGAGAATTTGGGTGATGATTTTTTTATGCTTACGTAAAAGTCGTTGATGGATGGAAGAAATAAATGATGATAGATGAATAGATAGATATAGATAAAGACAAACACACACCACACATACAGAAGGAAGATAGAGAGAGGTTGAGGAAGTGATAGATTATGTTATGCGTGTCCGAATATGTCACAAGTTATTACTAAGATATTTTATGATTATTACAGACACGAGATCAGTGCGAGGCGCGTCCTCCGTTGTGCCACAGTCAGCCACCTCCCAGCCCAGTTGGCACCTCCTGCTGGCACTGTGGCGTCCTAAAGAGTACGTCACACCCACAGGGGAGGGGGAGTCCACGGGGGAAGGGCTGCCCACCTCGGTGGTGTCCGGCACGGTGCAGGTCACACCCACCAAGGAGGTCCTCACCACTAGTGCCAAACCTTCTGAAGGTGATGTGCAGCCCACAAGAGAGTCTCCTGCAGGAACTGTGGCGACGAGGGAGGACTTGTTAGAGAGACAAGCTCACGCGACGAGACACTTTCCCCCAGCGGGCTATGTCGCAGGGTCGAGTGTGTCCCCTTCCAGAGAGGCCTCGACTCCCCCACCTCAGGCAGCAGAGACCGGCCAGCATGAAGGGTGGTCAAGCAGCACACAACCTCCTGCAACACCACAACACAACACGACGCCGCAACACTCAGCGGTTGATAGTCTGCCTCAGCAACGCCCCGCTCAAGACACAGGGACAATGAGGGACGAGTCGGAAGTGGAGGAAGACACACCCAAACACTCGCCGCCTCTGTTTCGGGCGAGGAGTTTAGGTACTGATGAGGACTTTGGGGAAATAACTGTGGCCACCACACTCAAGACTTCTGTTGGGGAAGGGAAAGAGGAGTCGTCTATGGAAGAAGCCCAAGAGAGCCTCACCGTGCACAACACTGACGGTCTGGTGGGCGTCGTTATGCCAACGTCGGTCTCGGCCGCCCCAGGGGACCTCACCACTGTCACACACTCTCTTGACGTGAGGGAGCATATTGATGTTGCTCACCCGGCCATCACTGGCAGACAGATACTGAAGCAGACGTCATCTAGTGAAGCAGTAGGACAACCCCACTCCGCCCCTGATGACGCCGCCAGCACCATAGCACCGCCGCTGCCTGACGAAGCTACAAATGAGGACCATTTCTTCATGCATCCGCTAACAAGGCTTCGAGAAAATGAACAAGAGTTCAGAGAGGAAACACCACAACACACCAACGTTGTGATCACCTCCAACACCTCCCACACTCTGAGTCCTGTGGCGGATCACCACCAACAACAGCAGCAGCAGCAGCAACAACAACAAGATCAACAGCAGCAGCAACAAGAACAACAGCAGCAGCAACAAGAACAACAGCAACAAGATCAACAAGAACAACAGCAACAACAAGAATACCATCCTACTGAGAACAACAAGAGGCAGGAAGACTATCCTCCCCACCACAGCGAGAGAGGCCGCAAGGTCCTACATTTCCAGGGTCCTGTAGTGATGGAGACCGTGGATGAGCCATCTCTGGTGCCACTCGTCAGCCAGTCCAAGGAAATTCTCACCTTAAAGGATGATGAAAAAGCCATCCTCGCCCTGCTGAGAGTTGCCCAAGGACCCAACAGCCTCGAGGACCCCTTCCAGGTCAACTCTATCATCCAGACCCACGACCAGGTGACCTCGATCACTGATGACCTCTCCACCGTCATGTCTATCCTCCACGAGAACGACACGCACACCACAACACAAAACACTAACACCACAACGCACAACTCTAACACCACAGCACACAACTCTAACACCACAACACACAACTCTAACACCACAACACACAACTCTAACACCACAACACACAACTCTAACACCACAACACACAACTCTAACACCAACACCGAGACAACAGATGAGGTAAGGTTCGTTGAGGACGATAACGACCCGAGACTGTTGATGAAGAAAGACTCGAAATCCTTTGACAGTCGGAAGTCTGTGAACGCTCTCGATACCCACGACAAAGATGGCGGTGTGTCTGAGAGCAGCGTGGACAACGACGGCACCACCAAGGACAGCGGCATGACGACAGCGAAGCCCATCTACGAGGAGATCTCCGACACGCTGAAGGTGGACACAAGTATAGACGACGTGGAGGATTTCGACGTGCAGGTCAAACACACGGAACACACCGAAGACTTCCTCCCGACCACCAACCAGTCTCACCCGAACTTTATAGACGCTACGCTGCACAGTCAACACCCAGACCCCCAGCAGGAAGCTCTCCCTCCAGCAGGTAGCAGTAGTAGTGACGTCACCTCCACAACCTCCTTGTCCTCCATCACAACCACTGTATCAACAACCAACAACAACAACACCAGCAGCACCACCACCACCTCACAGCAACAACAAGCACCTCAGTTATCGTCAACCTCACACTCCTTCAGCGAGTACCCGAGTCACTACCCACCCAGGATCATCGTCAGGCCAGAGTCTGAGGACGCCAACACAACCACCACGACCTCTACAGCAGGCGACGACGGTGAAGACGACAATAACGGGTGGTCGATGTTCGTGGCTAACATCTCCGGCATCCACAACTCGTCCTTGTCGCTGAACGAGTCCGTGTTCCAGAAGGTCACCGGCATAAGTATGGACGAGCATTATAAGATGGTGCTACACGAGCGAGGTGAGACACTGATTTACCTTAATGATTATAACACCTGTAAGTTAGCCCCGCCCCTCTTGCTTATTACACCTGGTGATGAAACAACCTTAGTATAACACCTGCCCTGAGGGATGAGGAAGGGGGGTGATGAAAGATGAGGTGTGGGTAGGAAGAAGACATGAGGGGGAGGAGGATGGGCGGTATGGGAGGATGGGGGTATGGGGAGGAAGGAGATGAGGGGTGTGGGGGAACATGAGGGGAGGAGGATGGGCGGTATGGGGGAGGAGGATGGGGGTATGGGAGGAAGATGAGGGGTGTGGGGGAGGAAGAAGACATGGGGGGAGGAGGATGGGGGTATGGGAGGAAGGAGAGATGAGGGGTGTGGGAGGGAAGAGACATGGGGGAGGAGGATGGGGGTATGGGGAGGAGAGAGATGAGGTGTGGGGAGGAGGAAGAGAGAGGGGGGGGAGGGAGGGGATGGGGGTATGGGGAAGAGGATGGGGGGTATGGGGAGGAAGAGATGAGGGGTGTGGGGAGGAAGAAGGCATGAGGGGAGGAGGATGGGGGGTATGGGGAGGAAGGAGATGAGGGTGTGGGGAGGAAGAGACATGAGGGGAGGATGGGGTATGGGGAGGAAGGAGAGATGAGGGGTGTGGGGGGAGGAGGATGGGGGGTATGGGGAGGAGGATGGAGGGTATGGGGAGGAGGATGGAGGGTGTGGGGAGGAAGGGTCGTCATCATCATCTTGATTTACGATTATCCCTTCCACCACCACCCGCTGCCACTTCCCTCACACTCTTCCTCTCCCTCCTCGTGTTCCTCCTCCCCCTCCCCTACCCTCCTCCTTTCTCATTCTTCTCTTCCTTCCTCCTCTCCTCCTCCCTTCCTCCACTCTTCCTACCCCTCCTCGTTCCTCCTCCTTTCTCATTCTTCTCCTCTTCCTTCCTACTCTCCTCCTCCCCTTCCCTCACTCTTCCTCTCCCTCTCTCTTCCCTCCTCCCCCCTCCCCCCCTCTCCCCTCCTTTCATTCTTCCCCTCTTCCTTCCTCACTCTCCTCCTCCTTCCCTCACTCCTATTCCTCTTCCTCCCTCCCCCTCCTCCTCCTCTCCACTCATTTCCTCTTTCCTCACCCTCCTCCTCCTCCTTCACTAGAGTTTTGTGTTGTGTTGCAGGAAGAACATTTTAGTACCAGTGTTGTGTTGTGTTGCAGGCAGCTTGATGCTACAGTTGATGGACCCGTCAGCTGACCCCTGTGACGACTTCTATCAGTTCGTGGGAGATGGAATGGCAAGTTCCCCATCAGACAAGACAAGGTGGGTGTTGTGTTGTGTTGTGTGTGTTGTGTTGTGTTGTGTGTGTTGTGTTGTGTTGTGTTGTGTGTGTTGTGTTGTGTTGTGTGTTTGTGTGTGTTATAGCCATCAGTTTACTAACTCTTGTGGTTTTCACATAAAGAAAAAGAAAGACAAACAGACGACAGACAGACAGACAGAAAAGACAGACAGACAGACAGACAGAAGACAGACAGACAAACAGACAAACAGACAGACAGACAGAAAGACAGACAAACAGACAAACAGACAGACAGACAGAAAGACAGACAGACAGACAGACAAACAGACAGACAGACGACAGACAAACAGACAAACAGACAAACAGACAGACAGACAGACAAACAGAGAAAGACAGACAGACAGACAGAAAGATAAAATCAGCCACCAGTAACACCCCTCCCCCCTTCACCGTCAGGCCGTGGACAACACCTTCGAGAGGCTGAAGGAGGACCTCGACGACGTGCTCAGGTCCCTACTGGAGGAGCCGCCCCTCGACACTGACAACAACATTACCAAGGCCGTCAAGATTCTCTACTCCGGCTGTATGAACACGGGTGAGACGCATTCACCTTAATTAACCAACATTTTGATCACTAACCAACATTCTAACTCATTTTAACCACTATTTTGATCACTAACCAACATTCTAACTCATTTTAACCACTATTTTGATCACTAACCAACATTCTAACTCATTTTAACCACTATTTTGATCACTAGCCAACATTCTAACTCATTTTAACCACTATTTTGATCACTAACCAACATTCTAACTCATTTTAACCACTATTTTGATCACTAACAACATTCTAACTCATTTAACACTATTTTGACCACTAACAACATTCTAACTCATTTTAACTACTATTTTGATCACTTAACCAACATTCTAACTCATTTTAACCACTATTTTGACCACTAACCAACATTCTAACTCATTTTAACCACTATTTTGATCACTAGCCAACATTCTAACTCATTTTAACCACTATTTGATCACTAGCCAACATTCTAACTAATTTTAACCACTATTTTGAGCACTAACCAACATTCTAACTCATTTTAACCACTATTTTGATCACTAACCAACATTCTAACTCATTTTCACCACTATTTTGACCACTAACAACCAACATTCTAACTCATTTTAACCACTATTTTGATCACTAACCAACATTCACTCATTTTAACCACTATTTTGATTTTTTTTTTTTTGGTCATTAAAACATTTAACTCATTTTAACCACTATTTGATAACATTCTACTCAACTTTTGATCATAACAACATTCACTAATTTTAACCACTATTTTGATCACTAACAACCATTTTTAACCACCCACTGCTATTCTAACCACTATTCTTAACCACCCACCACTATTCTCAACCACCTCACCACCATTATCTCAACCTGTAGAAGCTATAGAGGAGCTGGAGGCCAAACCCTTACTGGACCTACTGAAGGAGTTCGGGGGGTGGCCGGTACTGGAGGGGGACGCCTGGAACGACACGGGTTACGACTGGGTCAGACAGATGGCTCACCTCAGGAACTACAACAACGACATCCTCATCTCCGAGTGGGTGGCGGCCGACATAACCAACTCCTCTAACCATATTATTCAGGTGTGTACTGTGTAGTGGTCTAACCTAACCAACTCCTCTAACCATATTATTCAGGTGTGTACTGTGTAGTGGTCTAACCTAACCAACTCCTCTAACCATATTATTCAGGTGTGTACTGTGTAGTGGTCTAACTAACCAACTCCTCTAACCATATTATTCGGTGTGTATTGTGTAGTGGTCTAACCTAACCTAACCTAACCAAATCCTTTAACCATATATTCAGGTGTGCTGTGTAGTGGTCTAACCTAACCAAATCCTCTAACCATATTATTCAGGTGTGTACTGTGTAGTGGTCTAACCTAACCTGACCTAACCAACTCTCTAACCATATTATTCAGGTGTGTACTGTGTAGTGGTCTAACCTAACAACTCTAACCATATTATTCAGGTGTGTACTGTTAGTGGTCTAATAACTGACCTAACCAACTCCTCTAACCATATTATTCAGGTGTGTACTGTGTAGTGGTCCTAACCTAACCTAACCTAACCAAATCCTTTAACCATATTATTCAGGTGTGTACTGTGTAGTGGTCTAACCTAACCTGACCTAATCCTCTTAACCATATTATTCAGGTGTGTACTGTGTAGTGGTCTAACCTAACCTGACCTAACCATATCCTTTAACCATATTATTCGAGGTGTGTGCTTAGTGGTCTAACCTAACCTGACCTAACCAAATCCTTTAACCATATTATTCAGGTAGTGGTCTAACCTAACCTGACCTAACCAAATCCTTTAACCATATTATTCAAGTGTAGTGGTCTAACCTAACCTGACCTAACCAAATCCTTTAACCATATTATTCAGGTGTGTGCTGTGTAGTGGTCTAACCTAACCTGACCTAACCAAATCCTTTAACCATATTATTCAGGTGTAGTGGTCTAACCTAACCTGACCTAACCTACTCCTCTAACCATATTATTCAGGTGTAGTGGTCTAACCTAACCTGACCTAACCTAACTTAACCAAATTCTCCTCTAACCATATTATTCAGGTGTGTGGTGATCTAACCTAACCTGACCTAACCTAACTTAACCAAATACCTCCTCCAATCGTGTCATATTCAGGTGAAAGTAGTTTGGGTGGAGTTTTTATCTATTGACCTGACCTGACCTAACCATCTATCCCTCTGCCCCTCACCACACACACACACAGTTGGACCAGCCAGAGTTGGGTTTGCCAGGTCGGGAATATTTCATCAACCCCGGCGACTATCAGTACAGGGGCTTACCTTAACCTGATGCTGAGTGTAAACTTGTGGGGCCTCACTGGACACCTCCCTTCACGATATGTCCAACGTCCTGCAGTTTGAGATTCATGTGTCTAGGGTGAGTGGCGAGACAGTTGTATAATCCATGACCTTATCTGACCTTTGACCCCAGATATAATTGAATAATCCATGATCTTATCTGACCTTTGACCTTCCCAGATATACCTGTATAATCCATGATCTTATTTGACCTTTGACCTCCCCAGATTTTGACAGCGGCTGAGGAAAGGCGAAACCTATCAGCTGTCCACCGTCGCATGACCATCGATGACTTGAATGACCAGGTGCCTGAGGTAAGGTGTAGGTCATGTCACGAGGGGTCACGAAGGATCACAGAGGGTATTGAAGGGTCACTTGTATTGTACTTGAGGGGAGAGACAGATGTTTCATGATTTCAACGAGATATACAAGTAAACAAAGACACACACACACACACACACACACACACACACACACACACACACACACACACACACACACACACACACACACACACATAGAAACAGTTATATGTACGGGTTAACTTACCTGTATATACGTTCATCACAGATCGACTGGGAGGTTTACCTGAATATGATCACCTGGAGGAACAACAGCACGGAGGAGCTGGTGGTGTTTGGCCTCGATTCTTCAAACTCGTCGCCCTCCTCAAGACTACTGACAACAGGTAGTGGCTCCTGGTACCTAGTAGGGGAGGGAGGTGTTATGGTACTTGTTCGAGGGAGGAAAGGGGTGTGTTTGGTACCTGTATATGTGTTAATTTACAAGTCTACCTATTTGTGTCAACTCCCATTTCCCTTCTTCCCTCCTTCCCTCCCACCCTTCCTCCCTCCCCCTCCCCCACCAGCCACACACACTCAATCTCCCTCCCTCCTCTCCTACTCCACACACACACACACACACACACCACACACTCTCATTCTTCTCTCCCACCTACACACCCCTCCCCTCCTCTCTCCCTACACATTCCCCCTCCTCCTTTCTCCCACCTACACACTCCCCCTCCCTCCTCTCTCCCACCTACACACTCCCCTCCCTCCTCTCTCCCACCCACACACTCCCCCTCCCTCCTCTCTCCCACCCACACCTCCCCTCCCTCCTCTCTCCCACCACACACCCCCTCCCTCCTCTCTCCCACCCACACCTCCCCTCCTTCCTCTCTCCCACCTACACACTCACTCTCCCTCTCTCTCCCACCCACACACCTCCTCTCCCTCCTCTCTCCCACCTACACACTCACTCTCCCTCCCTCTCTCTCACAGGCGGTCAGCTACCTGCTGTGGCGCCGTCAAGAACAGAATCAGTAACCTGGGTGAGAAATACATCAGGATCAAGCAGGACTACATCAAGGTGCTCTTCGGCCGCAAGAGCCAGCCGGAGAGGTACTGTACGACCCTGTAGTCACCCATGTACTGTACGACCCCATGTACTGTACGACCCCTCTTGTAGTAATCCATGTACTGTATGACCCCCTGCAGTCACCCATGTACTGTGCAGACCCCCCTGTAGTCACCCATGTACTGTATGACCCCCCTGTAGTCACCCATGCTGTGCAGCCCCCCTGTAGTCACCCATGTATGTGTATGACCCCCTGTAGTCACCCATGTACTGTATGACCCCCTGTAGTCATCCATGTGCTGTATGACCCCCTGTAGTCACCCATGTACTGTATGCCCCCTGTAGTCACCCATGTGCTGTGACCTCCCTTTAGTCACCATGTACTGTAATACCCCTGTAGTCACCCATGTACTGTATGACCTCCTGTAGTCACCCATGTACTGTGGCCCCCTGTAGTCACCCATGTGCTGTAATACCTGTAGTCACCCATGTACTGTATGCCTGTAGTCACCCATGTACTGTATGACCTCCTGCAGTCACCCATGTACTGTATGACCTCCTGTAGTCATCCATGTACTGTACGACCCCCTGTAGTCACCCATGTACTGTAATGCCCTGTAGTCACCCATGTACTGTATGACCTCCTGTAGTCACCCATGTACTGTCATGACCTCTATGTACTGTGTACGACCCCCCAGTCACCATGTACTGTATGACCCCTGTAGTCACCATGTACTGTATGACCCCCAGTCCATGTACTGTACGACCTCTGTAGTCATCCATGTACTGTATGACCCCCTGTAGTCACCCATGTACTGTATGACTCTGTAGTCATCCCATGTACTGTAATGACCCCTGTAGTCATCCATGTACTGTACGACCCCTGTAGTCACCCATGGCTGTACGACCCTGTAGTCATCCATGTACTGTACGACCCCTGTAGTCACCATGTACTGTATGACCCCTGTAGTCACCCATGTACTGTATGACTCCTGTAGATACCATGTACTGTAATACCTCCCTGTAGTCACCCATGTACTGTACGACCCTGTAGTCACTATGTACTGTATGACCCTCTGTAGTCACCCATGTACTGTATGACCCCTGTGTCACCCATGTACTGTATGACCCCCTGTAGTCACCCATGTACTGTAATACCCCTGTAGCCACCATGTACTGTATGACCTCCCTGTAGTCACCCATGTACTGTATGACCCCTGTAGTCACCATGTACTGTATGACCTCCTGTAGTCACCCATGTACTGTATGACCCCTGTAGTCACCCATGTACTGTACGACCCCTGTAGTCATCCATGTACTGTACGACCCTGTAGTCACCATGTACTGTAATACCACCCTGTAGTCACCATGTACTGTATGACTCTCCCTGTAGTCACCCATGTACTGTATGACCCCCTGTAGTCACCATGTACTGTATGACCCCCGTAGTCACCCAATGTACTGTATGACCCCTGTAGTCACCCATGTACTGTATGACCCCTGTAGTCACCATGTACTGTATGACCCCCTGTAGTCACCTGTACTGTATGACCCCCTGTAGTCACCCATGTACTGTAATACCCCCCTGTAGTCACCCATGTACTGTATGACCTCCTGAGTCACCATGTACTGTATGACCCCCTGTAGTCACCATGTACTGTACGACCCCCTGTAGTCACCCATGTACTGTATGACCCCCTGCAGTCACCCATGTACTGTATGACCTCTGTAGTCATCCATGTACTGTATGACCCCCTGTAGTCATCCATGTACTGTACGACCACCTGTAGTCACCCATGTACTGTATGACCCCCTGTAGTCATCCATGTACTGTACGACCCCGCAGTCACCCATTACTGTACGACCCCTGTAGTCATCCATGTACTGTACGACCCCTCTGTAGTCACCCATGTACTGTATGACTCTGTGTCACCCATGTACTGTAAGACCCCTGTGTCATCCATGTACTGTATGACCTCTGTAGTCACCCATGTACTGTATGACCCCCTGCAGTCACCATGTTCTGTACGACCTCCTGTAGTCACCCATGTACTGTATGACTCTGTAGTCACCCATGTACTGTATGACCCTGCAGTCATCCATGTACTGTATGACCCCTGTAGTCACCCATGTACTGTGTACGACTCTGCAGTCATCCATGTACTGTATGACCCCTGTAGTCATCCATGTACTGTAATAATTCTCCCTGTAGTCACCCATGTACTGTATGACCCCTGTAGTCACCCATGTACTGTACGACCCCTGTAGTCATCCATGTACTGTAATACCTCCCTGTAGTCAACCATGTACTGTACGACCCCCTGTAGTCACCCATGTACTGTATGACCCCCTGTAGTCACCCATGTACTGTACGACCCCCTGTAGTCATCCATGTACTGTAATACCTCCTCCTGTAGTCACCCATGTACTGTATGACCCCTGCAGTCACCCATGTACTGTACGACCCCCTGTAGTCATCCATGTACTGTATACTCCCTGTAGTCACCCATGTACTGTACGACTCCCCAGTCACCCATGTACTGTACGACCCTTGTAGTCACCATTGTACTGTTACGACCCCCTGTGTTGTCATCCATGTACTGTAATACCTCCCTGTAGTCACCCATGTACTGTATGACCCCTGTAGTCACCATGTACTGTACGACCCCTGTAGTCACCATGTACTGTATGACCCCTAGTCACCCATGTACTGTACGACCCCCTCTGGTGACCCATGTACTGTATGACCCTCCCTGTAGTCACCCATGTACTGTACACCCCTGTAGTCATCCATGTACTGTATGACCCCTGTAGTCACCCATACTGTACGACCCCTGTAGTCATCCATGTACTGTATGACCCCTGTAGTCACCCATGTACTGTATGATCCCCAGCAGTCATCCATGTACTGTATGACCCTCCCTGTAGTCACCCATGTACTGTACGACCCCTGTAGTCACCCATGTACTGTACGACCCTCCCCTGTAGTCACCATGTACTGTACGACCCTGCAGTCACCCATGTACTGTATGACCCCTGTAGTCATCCATGTACTGTATGACCCTAGTCACCCATGTACTGTACGACCCTCCCTGTAGTCACCCATGTACTGTATGACTCTGCAGTCATCCATGTACTGTATGACCTCTGTAGTCACCCATGTACTGTAATGACTCTGTAGTCATCCATGTACTGTATGACCCCCTGTAGTAATCCATGTCTGTATGACTCTAGTCATCCATGTACTGTATGACCCCCAGTCACTCCATGTACTGTGCGACTCTGTAGTCACCCATGTACTGTATGACCCCTGTAGTCACCCATGTATTGTAATACCTCCCTGTAGTCATCCATGTACTGTATGACCCCTGTAGTCACCCATACTGTATGACCCCCTGCAGTCACCCATGTACTGTACGACCCCCTGTAGTCACCCATGTATTGTAATACCCTCCCTGTAGTCATCCATGTACAAGGACCCCCCTGTAGTCACCTGTACTGTATGACCCCCCTGTAGTCACCCATGTACTGTAATACCCTCCCCAGTCACCCATGTACTGTACGATCTCCTGTAGTCACCCATGTACTGTAATACCCTCCCTGTAGTCACCCATGTACTGTACGACACCCTGTAGTCACCCATGTACTGTAATACCCCCTGTAGTCACCCATGTACTGTATGACTCCTAGATACTGTACGACCCCCTGCAGTCACCCATGTACTGTACGACCTCTTTGTAGTCACCCATGTACTGTATGACCCCCTGTTGTCATCCATGTACTGTAATACCCTCCTGTAGTCACCCATGTACTGTATGACTGTAGTCACCCATGTACTGTAATGACCCCCTGTAGTCACCCATGTACTGTATGACCCCTGTGGTCACCCATGTACTGTACGACCTCTGTAGTCACCCATACTGTATGACCTCTCCCTGTAGTGACCCATGTACTGTAATACCCCCTAGTCATCCATGTACTGTATGACCCCCTGTAGTCACCCATGTACTGTATGACTCTGTAGTCATCCATGTACTGTATGACCCCTGTAGTCACCCATGTACTGTATGACCCCCCAGCAGTCATCCATGTACTGTATGACCCTGTAGTCACCCATGTACTGTACGACCCCCTGTAGTCACCCATGTACTATACGACCTCCCAGTCACCCATGTACTGTATGACCCCTGCAGTCACCCATGTACTGTATGACCCCAGGGTCATCCATGTACTGTATGACTCTGTAGTCACCCATGTACTGTACGACCTCCCTAGTCACCCATGTACTGTATGACCCCCTGCAGTCATCCATGTACTGTATGACTCTGTAGTCACCCATATACTGTATGACCCCTGTAGTCATCCATGTACTGTACGACCCCTGTAGTAACACACATGTTCTGTATGACCCCCTGCAGTCATCCATGTACTGTATGACCCCCTGTAGTCATCCCCATGTACTGTACGACCCCCTGTAGTCACCCATGCACTGTACGACCCCCTGTAGTCACCCATGTATTGTAATACTCCCCTGTAGTCATCCATGACTATGACCCCCAGTCACCCATGTACTGTATGACCCCCTGCAGTCACCCATGTACTGTACGACCTCTGTAGTCACCCATGTATTGTAATACCCTCCTAGTCATCCATGTACTATGACTCTAGTCACCCATGTACTGTATGACCCCTGCAGTCACCCATGTACTGTAATACCTCCCTGTAGTCACCATGTACTGTACGACCCCCTTAGTCATCCATGTACTGTAATACCCTCCCTGTAGTCACCCATGTACTGTACGACCTCTGTAGTACCCATGTACTGTAATACTTTAGTCACCCATGTACTGTAATTCTCCTGTAGTCACCCATGTACTGTACGACCCCTGTAGTCATCCATGTACTGTAATACCTCCTGTAGTCACCCATGTACTGTACGACCCCCTGTAGTCATCCGTGTACTGTAATACCCTCCCTGTAGTCATCCATGTACTGTAATACCCTCCCTGTAGTCACCCATGTACTGTATGACCCCCCTGTAGTCACCCATGTACTGTAATACCCTCCCTGTAGTCACCCATGTACTGTGTGACCCCCCTGTAGTCACCCATGTACTGTATGACCCCCCTGTAGTCACCCATGTACTGTGCGACCCCCCTGTAGTCATCCATGTACTGTACGACCTCTTGTATTGACTTAGAAACTTAAGCTAATATGGATAATGATTTTTTAATTAATTTAAAGCTAATTTTAAGCTAAAGATCTTTTTAAAATTTTTACAATAAGTTAAATATTTTTCTTAAGAACTTATGTTGATTTTAGTTGACTCGAAAGGTTACGCTGATTTTAATTTTGAGTTGGTTGAAATTTAATCATTTTAATTAGTTTTATTTGTTGATATTTAGGTTAGACTTTTATTTCTTTGTACTGATTTAATTAATTTTTTCTTTGTGAAGTAATTTTTTTATAAGTTTTATTTTTAATGATGATTAATATTTTTGTTTATATATTGATTGTCTAAAAGAGGGTGTTGTTCAGGTGACCTCTGTACACCTGTAGTAAGATGGAGTGTATTAGAGTGAGATAACCATATTAGAAACACACGTGGTCACTCCTGGTAACACTTGGTCACTCTTGCAGGTGGAGGTCGTGCGTGACGTACGTGAGTGGTAACCTCGGGTACGTGGTGGGCGCCATGTTCGTCAAGAGGTACTTCCCTGAGGCCAGCAAGAATGACGTGAGTGTCTACTGTCTTGAGGAGGTTCTTGGTGTACTGTACTGTCAGCCAAATAAATTACCAGAGACCCAACACGTCTAGGGTCGGGCAAACTATCTGGTAACAGTGTACAACCCTTACCTGTCACTCTCCTTACCTCTACATTATTACCAGATCAGTTGCTTTACCTTATACTTTTTGGGTCTCTGCGTATATATTTGGCCGACTACTCACTCAAAAAAGTATCTTTATGATTATGTGTTAGACAATATGACACAACGGACGAAGACCTTTGACAACCCTACCGAGACAACAGGAGTCACAGTGTTCATTTTGAAAGTCATCAGACCTCTCCATGAAGATACTTTTTGGAGTGTGTGTACAGCACAAGGTTGGCTTCTGCACTCTTTAGAAGACAGTTTTATCTCTCATAATTTTCTATTGTTGGACTAGTGTATAACTGACCTTGTTATGACCTTCGTTATTGAAGTGTTATCTCTATCTATTTCTCCGTCCTCTTCAGTCTCTTTATCTCTCTGTCCTCCACAGACCCACGAGATGATCTCCCTCATCCGGGACTCGTTCAAGGGGGCGCTGAACGAGGCTCGCTGGATGAACGAGGAGACCCGACAAGTGGCCCAGGAGAAGGTGGACACCATCGTCAAGAATGTGGGCTACCCTGAGTACCTCCTCAACAACACCTACATGGATAATGTCTACTCTGAGGTGAGGGGGGCCGGGGGTCCTACCAACCGAGGGAGAAGGAGGGAGGGGCTGGTGTACGAACGCCACTGGAGGCAGAAGATGAGCGAATGGAGGTCTGTGTGGAGTGTTAGGTACTCGTAGGTAAAGAGACGAAGATTGGAGAGAAGTTGATGTGATTTTTTATTTTCACTCTTTTGGTTAGATTAGATGTGTGTGTGTGTGTGTGTGTGTGTGTGTGTGTGTGTGTGTTTTTGTAGGGAAAGGAGGAATGAAGGAAGATTAGGGGTGGGGGAAGGAAGTTATAGTTCGGAACTTGAAGAAATTCAGGATGAGGTAAGAGAGGGCGGGCTGACCGCCTAGCTAAGGTAATAGTGTGTTTGGGTTGTGTCATGGGTTAGTTATTGTCTGTCGGTACAGGCACTAGACAGCCTACCCTGTCCCATTTATGGGTGTTTTGAGGGCCTTATTTCATATTCCGCCGACCCTACTGGCGGATGCTGGTCTCGGGAGGTTGTCTATTGCCTGGCCGTGTAGATCGGGGGTGGTAATGGACCTTTTGAGATTTCGTAGCTTTTTGGGAACCATGTATGGTTGTTGTCGTTATCTGGGTGTGTGTGTGTGTTTGTGTGTGTGTGTGTGTACTGTATATACATTTATACATTAATACATATATACATATAAAGGCAAGTTACTCTCTCTTTCAAAAGATGGAAAATATGAGGTGAAGAGAGAGAGAGAGAGATAAAAAATATATACTGTAGTAGTAACAGCAGGGACCAACCTTCAGGTGACAGGTTTGGGAGGTTCACCTGATACACTATAGAGGTATTGATGAGGACGACACCTGCTAGAGGGCCACCACACCTGATTGCTATCACCACGGAAGTAATGTGATCTATAGTCTGGTTAAATTAGGTCAGTGTCAGGTTAGGTTAGGGTAGGGTAGTGTTAGGTTAGGTTATGATAGATTAGGGTAGGTCAGGCTAGGTCATCAGTACTTTGAAGAAGACGAGGAAGTATTGTCATCGTCCTGGTATCCTTAAACAGAAGAGCGTCAGTGTTGCTTTTGTGATGACACCATTATTATACACACACACACACACACACACACACACACACACACGAAGGACCTTGACTGCCTGCTACTGGTTCCTCTAACTTGAAAATCCTGTCATTTTAAACTCCTGAGGTCGTAACAGGTGTATGAGATGGGCTCAAATATCCAATATATTTAGACATAGTTCACGAGGGCGTCACCCGATACACCGGCTCAGGGCGGCTCGGTGGGTGGTGACACTGAGACGCTTGTGCCACCCACCACCACCCACCCTCACTACATCTTCCCTTCGTCAGATAATACTCCAACTCTCCCTTCAAATCTCTCGTCACGATGGGGAAGTTACCTGGTCCAGAACTTGTAGTGTACTCCTCCTTCTCCCTCCCTCGTCCTGGCCTTCCCTCCACACAACCCTCCCTCCACACCCTCCCTTCCCTTCTCTCCGCCTTACCATCCCCCCCCCCCAACCTACCCTACTCCCTCCTCACCCTTATACACATTTAGACTGATTCTCCCAGCGTGTCTTAGTTGGTCAGGGTTGGGTTAGGTTAGGTTAGGCTAGGTTTGGTTAGGTTAGGTATCCATCAATCTACCACCATCTCCCCCCTTCAGCTGAGCTTCAACAGGGAGACACACTTCAGGAACGTGCTCAAGATGCTACAGTTCCACGCTCGCACCAACCATAACCTGCTGTCTGTTCCCGTCAACCGTACTGCCTGGGTCACCTCCCCCGCCGTCGTCAACGCCTACTACAGCAGGTCCAAGAATATGATAGGTAAGGTGATCCGGTGACGTGTTTAGGTTAGGTTTGGTTTGTGGTGGAGTTAGGTTAAGTTAGGTTATATCAAGTTGTAATACGTTAAGTTAAGTTGAAATAGTTTAAGTTAGGTTAGATGAAGTTAAATTAAGTAAGGTTAATTAAGTTAGACGACAATAATAAGTAATTTACCCATGACATCATAATATTTAACCTCTAAAGAACATCCACCTCACCTGCCTCCCCCACAGTGTTCCCGGCAGGCATCCTTCAGCCACCCTTCTACCACCCCGCCTTCCCCCGCTCCCTCAACTATGGCGGCATCGGGGTCGTCATAGGTCACGAGATCACCCACGGTTTCGATGACCGCGGCCGACAGTTTGACAAGAACGGCAACCTGCAGCAGTGGTGGACCCCAGATGATGTGTCCAAGTTCTACCAGAGGGCATCTTGTATGTTGGGTGAGTCGCTGAGTCACTAGTTGAGTTGGGGTTAGTCATGGGGGCATTTGGTGGGACGGGTGACTCATTTAGGCACAGGGTAAGGAGAGCTTCACTGGTTCTGGGTAATGTTGTGTTGATGAAATTCATACTAAATCACCTTAACGCTTGATTATACACCGAGTTAGTCACAAGGTCTTGATAACGATAAATAAAAATACAAAACTTCAGACTTTCGTAAACACAGAGTCTCTTTTTCTGGAGTGTATTTCCGGTGAATCATATACCAACACTTAACGTCTCTTAACTAACTATAGGTGGAGTCACTTCCCCCATAAGTGTATCGACAAGTAACTGGAGACACTTTATATGTTTTTAAGGTACTCATCAAAGATTTTCATATATTGTGGTGTTGTACGTAAGATTCAAGTCGATTTGTTGACGTTTTTATGGTGAATCCGGATTACTTGTCCCCATAGCTGGATTAATTGTTATTTTTAAAGGATAGGAAAGCACGCTACTAACCTGTCCCTTCCTCTACCCCCACAGACCAGTTTAACACACCTCTCTCTATCCCCACCGACCAGTTTAACAGACCACTCTCTACCCCCACAGACCAGTACGGAGAATACAAGGTTGATGACGTGGGCCTGAAGATTAACCCCGTCAATACTTTGGGGGAGAACATTGCTGATAACGCTGGCATCAAGATCTCCTATCAGGTACAGTGAGAGAGAGAGAGAGAGAGAGAGAGAGGTGAGAGGGAAAAGGGAGAGAGTGAGAGAGAAGGAGAGAGAGTGAGAGAAAAGGGAGAGAGTGAGAGGGAAAAGGGAGAGAGTGAGAGAGAAGAGAGGGTGAGAGGGAAAAGGGAGAGAGATGAGAGAAATGAGGAGAGAGAGAAGGGAGAGAGTGAGAGAGAAGGAGAGGAGAGTGAGAGGGAAAAAGGGAGAGAGTGAGAGAGAAGGGAGAGAGTGAGAGAAAAGGGAGAGGGTGAGAGGGAAAAGGGAGAGAGTGAGAGAGAAGGGAGAGGGTGAGAGGGAAAAGGGAGAGAATGAGAGAGAAGGGAGAGAGTGAGAGAGAAGGGAGAGAGTGAGAGAGAAGGGAGAGAGTGAGAGAAAAGGGAGAGAGTGAGAGAGAAGGGAGGTTACGGTTGGAGAGAGGGCGGCACGGAGGTAGGTTGAGGTTAGAGGCGCCACAGTCTTCCCTCACCGCTATGATTTTTCCAGATAAGTGTATCAAGTGGCCGGGAGGGGAGGGGGGGAGGGGAGGGGGGGGAACTGATAAGTGTGTGTGTGTGTGTGTTACGTGCACTGATTACAACACACAATAGGTTTAACAACACCAACAACAACTAATACTATTATAATCACAACAACAACAACAACCACCACTAGAACAACAACAACAATAACAGAAAACAACATCTCATCCAATATACATAGACAGTACAGGTATATAATCAAAAGATAAATACCACTATGTCAATTAAATCAAGAAATAGCCCAAGAAAACTTAATAGGAACTACGAATTATTTACTATTAATGCAAACCTACCCCCCCCCCCTCCTACTCCCCCTCCTACAGGCGTATCAAAACTGGCGTAAGAACAACGAAGAGACGGTGACGATGCCCTACGTTAACCTTACCCACGAGCAGCTCTTCTTCCTCAACTTCGGTCAGATCTGGTGTGAGGTGAACAGTCCTGAAGCCATGCTGACGAAGATCCGCAGCGGTCAGCACTCACCTAATAGATTCAGGTGAGTTTAGGTGCTTCATTAATAGGTTAGGTTCAGGTTCAGAGTCTAGGTGCTTCATTAATAGGTTAGGTTTAGGTGAGTCTAGGTGCTTCATTAATAGATTAAGTTCAGGTTCAGAGTCTAGGTGCTTCATTAATAGGTTAGGTTCAGGTGAGTCTAGGTGCTTCAGTGATTGTCTCGTTAGTTCAGAAGGTTATTAGTGTTCTTCAAGCTCCAGGACAGAACATTGTTTTTTTGTATTGTTATGATGTGTTAACGGCTGTGTCTTGTTTTACAGGGTTATTGGAACGCTCTCGAATTCAGATGAGTTCAGCGAAGCCTTCAAATGTCCAGTCGGAAGTCGGATGAACCCAGTACGAAAATGTCGAGTATGGTGAAGTGGGTCGACTAACACCATGACCTTGTTGATCTGTGGAGGAGGAGGAGGAGGTGACATAGATAAACATGAATTAGTAGAAGAAGGTGAGACAGTGAAAGATAAAGGTGAGGAAGTGAGAGAGGTGAGTGTTACTGAGGAAAAGCCATACAGTATACATAGTGACTTGTGTTGATATTGACGATAGGAGGAGGAGGAAAGGGGGGAGAAGGAGAGGAAGAAAGGGAGGAGGGAGAGGAAGAAAGGGAGAAGAAGGAGGAGGTAGAAAATGAGGAGGAGATAAAGATGAACAAGAACATAATCTGGAAGTTAAAGAATATGAAAGTGTAAATGACGAAGAATTGGAAGAATAAGAAAGAGTTAAGGGGAAGAATGGAGAGAAGAAGGAAGGTGAAGAAAAACTACAGTTAAAAGAAGAATAAGAAGAAATGGTGAAGAAAAATAATAACATCAATGAGAAGAAGAATGAAGGAGAATGTGGGAAAGAAGAAGAGAATAACAGAAAGCGAAAGAAATATCACATTTTGTTTGCATTGTTTACCTGTCTGTCTGTCTGTCTGTCTGTCTGTGTGTGTGTGTGTGCATCTCTTCAGGTAGATATAGTAGATTCTGTTCGAGTGTGAAGGAAGGTTGCGTGAGTCCCTTTACACCACAGCTCGAGGGAGAAAAGAGTGTGAGTGTTGGGTGCGTTAAATTAAGACGAGTGTTATAACAATCAGCTAAGAGTGCGTGGAGGCTAGAGTACTTTGGGAAAAGAGTATGTAGGCTCTAGAGTTCGTATAGATGAGAGTGCGTGGGCAGTTCTAGAACCTGTGGATGTTAGAATGCATATAAGCGAGCCAATCAGAGTGACTAGGAGTGAGAGTACGTGAGTAGAGTGCAAAAACCACATATTCCATCGTGTAACTCAGAGTGCGTGAGAGTGAGAGTGCGTGATGATGCCACTGCCAAATAAATCATACAGAGAAAGGAAAGAAAGTGAGTGAATATTGAAAAGGATTAAAAAAAATGAAAGGGAAAAGAAGAAAGATTATAACGATGACACAAAGGGGAGTTACACAAGACATAAGTGAAAACAAAAGACGTTCACACAAAGAGAATTCGGATCCTCCCTTTGTGAGAGTTATTCCCATCACCTTATAGTGTTTTATGGAACTTTAATGGGATCGAATCGTATCAAGAGAGGATTGAAACGTAAGAAGAAAAACTTAAAAGTGACTTAGAAATGAGACAATGGAACTTTAATTGGATCGAATCGTATCAAGAGAGGATTGAAACGTAAGAAGAAAGAATTAAAGTGACTTAGAAGTGAGATAAGGATAACAGATGTTTCTTAGTGAGTCACAACAACGATTAGCAATAGATGGTTATGCTACCTGTGTCCGTCACCTGTGAGTGTCGTGTGCGTCATCATAGCCACGTATACAGAGGTGAAGTGGGATACCTGTGTAGGTCACTTAATTACCTGGCAAGATGTAAGGTTAGGATTACACCTGTATAAGCCACTTGTGTTTAACTTGTACAGGTGATATAGGGGAAGATAACACCTGTTCATCACCTGTTCCAATTAGTACATGTGCCGAGTGAACTTGAACCTCCCCCCCCCCCTCCCCAGTTAATCAGTGTGTTGTCATGTTCATAGTTAAGCCTCTAGCATAAAAGATGTTCACTCTTGTTCAGTCAACTTATGCTCAATTGTTCAGTCAATTTCTCCCATAGTTCCCAGTAGAGTTGCCGCCGCCCTGACCCAACACGATGAGGTCAAGACTGTTTGGTGAGGTCAAGACTGTTTGGTGAGGTCAAGACTGTTTGGTGAGGTCAAGACTGGTGAGGTCAAGACTGTTTGGTGAGGTCAAGACTGGTGAGGTCAAGACTGTTTGGTGAGGTCAAGACTGTTTGGTGAGGTCAAGACTGTTTGGTGAGGTCAAGACTGGTGAGGTCAAGACTGTTTGGTGAGGTCAAGACTGTTTGGTGAGGTCAAGACTGGTGAGGTCAAGACTGTTTGGTGAGGTCAAGACTGGTGAGGTCAAGACTGTTTGGTGAGGTCAAGACTGTTTGGTCACTCAGAAATAATGTGGATGTTTTATATGGATGATAATTTATATACTTTTATGATTATATGAAAATTTAAAGGGAAAATAATGAATTGTGTTGAAAAGTTGTGAGTATACAAATTTATTTATATATAATTTGTAGAAAAATCCATTTAAATTGATGATGAAAAACAGTGTTGCCGGTGATGAAAGAAACAGTATTACCAGAGACGAGGAAACAGTATTATTAGTGATGAATAAAGCAGTGTTGCCATTGATGAAAGAATCAGTATTACCAAACATTGAGGCACCACCCACCCCGTCAACCACTTACAATATCACTCAATATCTTTAGAAAAAATAAATAAAATTTCTTAATCGATGTTACTATAGTATTTCCATAAATATCAGTGGTCGATATATAGATATATATATATTATATCAGAGCATTATAGTTACCTGTAATTACTTAGAGTTTACCTGTAGAATTGTACGTGCGCGTGTTGGCTCACTTTGTCAACAAGAAACAGAATTTGAGATTTAAAGTATACAGTACCTGCCGTGTGCGTGTGTTATGTTAGTGATCCTGTGGCCAAGTCCTCAGAGGACCTTAAGGTAAAAGTAGCCCCAGAAATGCATTTAAAGGGATGAGTTCAGAACTTATGGTAGCCAAGATGGCGCCATTACTGCACTAAGACTCTGTGTACCGGCTGGAGGGGGGTTCCTTAAGAGTCTCTGAGGTCCAGAACTTCGGGTTTATGGTGAATTATGGTGTGTTGTCGTGTTGTTTAAAGAGGGGCAGAGCTTTACTGGAGAGGGGCTGAACCGTAAAAGAGAGGGCAGAGCCTTACTAGAGAGGGGCTGAGCCTTACTACAGAGGGGCAGAGCCTTACTGGAGAGGGGCTGAGCCTTACTAGAGAGGGGCTGAACCTTACTAGAGAGGGGCTGAGCCTTACTAGAGAGGGGCTGAGCCTTACTAGAGAGGGGCTGAACCGTAAACGAGAGGGGCAGAGCCTTAAAAGAGAGGCCAAGGGCTGAGCCTTACTTGAATGCGTCAGCCTTCAGCATCATATTGTTGTTGTTCATCTGATACTCTATGGTCATACTAACACTGTACCCTGACCCCAACTCAGTCAAACCTAAGTTGATTTTAACCTAATCTACCTTTTACCTAACCTAACCCAACCTAACCTAATCTACCTTTTACCTAACCTAACCCAACCTAACCTAATCTACCCTTCACCTAGCATAACCTAACCTGACATAAATAAACCCAAACCTGACCTAAACTACCTCTGAACACAACCAAACCATAATTTTTTGGGTACCAATAGTCGGTTTCGGATTCAGAGATTAGTTCGACTCCTAATTCGAACCCGAGTGAAGCCGCCAAACCGGTAGAACGAAACATTACTAATAGACACCAAGACGCCTCCTAGATCGAGTCATCTTATACATTCTGAAATTCACAAAAAATTTACATAATTTTTCCCCAAAAAACTGAGAGAGAGAGAAGAGAATACATCAAATTATGATAGAGTATCAGTGTAATTTTGACGTCATCTTAACATCAAACTCTTAATTCCAGGAACCAATTAGATGTGTTATCGTGTACCCAGGTGTTAGAGGAGGGGTGTACCCAGGTGTTAGAGGTGGGATTATATTAGTCTTTGAAAGGTATTTACGAGCTCACAGAACATGCTAGACCCTGGATTCGTTGTAATTGGCGAATAATTTGTATTTTGGCGTTGTAATTGGCGAATAATTTGTATTTTGGCGTTGTATTTGGCGAATTATTTGTATTTTGGCGTCGTAGCTGGCGAACAATTTGTATTTTGGCGTCGTAGTTGGCGAACAATATGTATCTTGCGTCGTAATAGTGATTTATCAGTATTTTGGCGATAGAACTGACGAGTTTGACTACACATTGAAGATAAGCATAGATAAAGGTAACAGTGAGTGTGATAAGAGAACTGTTTCAGATTATTTCGTCTCGTGCCAAACAGGGTCGTTGTGGTGGCCAAACTCCAACCAGATTCTCAAAGAGTCTTTCAGCCTGTCTCATCACCTAACTGACTGGCTGGGAGATTTGAGAACGTATCTAACTGGCTAACAAGGATACGAAGATGACTGGGAAACCAATATGGCGTATAAATTACCTTGAGACTATCATAATTTTGGTAGTAGAAATGGTGTTACAATATCATAAGTCTTACTTGATTTAAGGTGAAAAAAATCTTACTTCACGAGTCTTTGAGAATCTGAAGACAGGTTGTGGATACTTGCCCATGTTGTAGATAATTATTAATATTATTATTATTGTCTTAACTTATGTGTGATCCAACAATTTGACCTTATATATGTATAAATACACTGAATAATAAAATGTATTGGACATTTGTGTGTGTTATTGTGGTGGTCCTCTCTCTCTCTCTCTCTCTCTCTCTCTCTCTCTCTCTCTCTCTCTCTCCACCAACAGGGTTAAATATCAATAGATTTTTTATTATAGTTTTCATCAATTTCTTTATTTCATTACCAAAAAAAAACACATTAAATGATATACAAAAATCCATTAATACTGAGATCAAAACTGAGGAAGTGTATTTGCACATTCGCCTGCACTTCTACCTGGTACACTAGCTGGCGTATTTTGTGAGATGTGACACCTCTGTGTTTGTTTATCTAGCGTCCTTAACTCTGGCTACTATTGCGACGTTATTTAAGGCCAAGCAGGTAGTTTTAATACAATGTAAACAAACAGAGTTGCCACATCTCACAAAATATGTCAGTTACTGTACCAGATATAAATGAGAGCAACTGTACATAATTCTACTTATTTTTATATACATACAGAAGGATGTTGTGTAAGTGAGAGATATGAGTGGAGGAGGAGGAGAGTAGACGGGAGATAGAGTAGAGGAAGAAGAAAAGATAATAAAAAAGAGAAGAGGAAAATTAAAAGAAAAAGAAGTATAAGAATAAGATAAAGAGGAAGAATAAGGGAAGAAATAAATAAGGTATATATACATGTAAGCAATAAAACAATTCTAATTATCACATATCATTCTAATTCCTTCTATGTATCATTCTCATACATCTACTGTTCATACATATTTCTCCCCTCAACCTAAAGATATGTCTAACTATATTTATTTTTACTTTAGTTTTTTTTTATAGTTTAGTTTAAGTTTAGTATAAAAACTTTAAGGATGATGGTTTAATGCTTCGAGGATGATAGCTTGGAGTAACACCTTGAATATGATAGCTTGGAGTAACACCTTGAATATGATAGCTTGGAGTAACACCTTGAATATGATAGCTTGGAGTAACACCTTGAATATGATAGCTTGGAGTAACACCTTGAATATGATAGCTTGGAGTAACACCTTGAATATGATAGCTTGGAGTAACACCTTGAATATGATAGCTTGGAGTAACACCTTGAATATGATAGATTGGAGTAACACCTTGAGTATGATAGCTTGGAGTAACACCTTGAGTATGATAGCTTGGAGTAACGCCTTGAGTATGATAGCTTGGAGTAACGCCTTGAGTATGATAGCTTGGAGTAACGCCTTGAGTATGATAGCTTGGAGTAACGCCTTGAGTATGATAGCTTGGAGTATGGTAAGGTAAACTATCGTCTTCAAAGAGTAAATATTCAATGATTTGGGTAAGTTTACACACCTGTTAAGTCTTACATACTAACCTGGTGTTAAATATTACCTAAGAAACAATAGAACTGCCAACCTTCACCTTCCTAAGAATCTACTGATTACAGGTAATGTTTCAGACTCAGGTACTAACTCCTCCAGCTCTTGGTGTGACTTGATGGCTTATGTTCGTTATAAATAGTTGTGGTGATGAATTTTTCTTGGCTTCCTTAGATAATTTCTTGGGTATTAACACAGAGGAGACGTAATGTGGACGCCTGGTGTTGGTTGAACCTGCGGTGGATGAGTCTAGCCTCCCTGTCAGTCATTTATAGGTCAGTTTAGTGAAGAATGTTGCCCGGATCAATCCTCTTCTGGATCAGATGGTGACGTGTCTGCAGTAAGGTATTTCCACAGGGTTAAAATAGAAGCATTTATCGAGACCATTGTTGGTCCTCTCACAGGTCTGGCGAGGTACAGTAATGGGGTCATCCTTCTGCAGTGTCTTCGTCATATATGTGGACACTTTCCTCACCAGGGTGTCGATATCGTCCTGGTATGCGAACTCTGCGAAGACGTGACAGATCGCCTGAATGAGGAGAGAACCTTTATGAGGGTCCCGGTGAGATAGTTCTCCTGGAGACGTGGAGAAGATAGAGTACATATCTGAGTATCTCTGAACACCTTCCTTTGGCGTCGAGGGAACGTTCCGGGTGTCGCTGTGGTAGGAGTCACTGTTAATGTGACCTTTTGTATCATGTGTGTCCGTGACCTGAGACGTTGTGGGGTCTATGAGGGAAGAGAGAGATGAAAAAGAGGGATTTCTGCTTAGGCGCTCAATCGCCAGGTAAATGGGACTTGTAGGGCCGGTGTCCATTGGCGTGTTCTTTCCATCGTGGGGGTGTTGGTGGTGGGCGGGTCTACTCTGGAGAAGTCTTTCGACCTCCTCACGAATGATCATCCTCAAGAGGTCATTAGGAATCGGTTCAGTCATTAGTAATTTCCTGGTTCGTTGGTCCAACTTAACGTCCGGGATGTTGCGACAGAACTGCAGGATAAATATCTTTGGCTTCCCTCGTAAAGCTTCACAGTGGATGTTGTCGAAGATGCTGTACACGTCCATCAGATCCACCTCTTGGTCGTCTGAGGTGATGAAGGTCTTTGGTCCTGAGCCGTGACTCATGATGATGATGACACATGAGCAAAACATTTGATGTTTCTTCTCATTACTGAAGGCTAAAAGCTTTTCCATAAATTCTTTCTTGGTGATGTTGCCAGTCTGACAGTACCTGTTCCTGCGGTGGGTGTAGCCGTAACCCATCTGCTGGAAGAGGTTTAACAGGTTCTCGTAGTCTCTCTCAGAACCTTCTCGATCAGGATATTTATCAAACTTAGAGAAGTTACACAAGAACACCAGACCTCTAGGTGTTGAGTCATTCCTGTAGGCTCCGTCACTCTCACCGTAAACCTTCGTGTACTTCACCTTGATGTGTGACTTATGCATTCGACCCCTACACCTGCCCCTCTTCAAATTCGTGAAATAGTGTTGACTTTCCGAGCTGTCGTCAAGACCTGGTGAGAGACAGTCTGTGGGGTTGGTGTAGGAGAGAGACCTGTTGCCTGAGGGACCTCCCTGATCCACCTCCTCGACGGTTATGGAGGGTAATCGATCGTTGCCTCTGATCTCCTGCGGTAAGTTATTGACCATGACTGTAGTTTGTGACGACACTCTTCGGACGCTCGCAACATCGTCTGACTGAGTGACTAATACCGTATTCGACCTCGCCAAAAAGCGTGATTGTATTGGCTCCTCCTCCTCCTCTTCCTCCTCCTCGTCTTCTACCTCCTCCTCTTCCACATCCTCCCCTTCCACCTCCTCCTCTTCCACCTCCTCCTCCTCCTCCTCCTCCTCCTCGTCCTCCTCCTCCTCCTCCTCGAAGACGTCATCATCTGTTTCGCAACAACAAAGTGGCTGGCCCTGACCTCCACACTCACTAGAGCCAGCGTTCTTCGTGGTTGTGTTGTGAGAAGAGTTGGTCCCTGGGCGGTTGCCTTCCATGCTGTGGTCTTCTTCAAAGCTGATTTGACCTACAGTCTTTGTGCTGTGTTCTTGTTCAACGATGATATGACCAACAGTCTTTGTGCTGTGTTGTTGTTCAACGCTGATAATATGACCTACAGTCTTTGTGCTGTGTTCTTCTTCAACGCTGATAATATGATCTACAGTCTTTGTGCTATGGTCTTGTTCAACGCTGATATGGAATTTACTCTTGTTATCGCTGCATTCTTCTTGTGCTGACTCTTCCTTAGCTTTCAGAGCCTTCCAGCCAGACTTCTTCTTCTTCCTCCCACTACGGAACAGGTCTGAAAGTCTTCGTAGGTCACGTTCCCATCCCATCGCGCCTAAGACTGACTGCTGACCAAGATGTTGACGAGATCTCACCAAGTGCCTCCTGAGTCACCTGCCGGAAGAGGTTGGTCAGGTGTTAATTAAAGGTAAGAAATTAATTAATACATGTGTTTAATTTATGTATCTAGTAAAGGTAAAATCTCACTTTAAGTGAGTGTTTATTTAAAGTAGAATTTCAGTGAAATTATGTTTCCTAAGTAGTGTTAAGTGAATGTATCTAGTTAAGGTACAGTCTCGGTGTTAATGTTGATGTTATTTCTTGTGTTTTATCATAAGTGGAGGCGGCTGTATAGTCACATGTTGAATTGCGAGAAAGCTGATGAAATAACAAACTAAACCTGAACTTGATAACGCTGTAGGAATTATTTTGTAGAATTCAAAGTAATAATCTGAATTTGTAAATAAAATGCTGGAATAACTTAACCCGTGGAATCCTAAACCACACGAGGATATTCTGGTAGAGGGTCTACGTCAAGTCGACATGAAATAGGCTTGTTGTCAGGGGTAGATCATGGATTAATCACAATAATTCGTATAATCCAGGATTAACGTGTATAGAAATATAATAAGTGGTGAGAGTTTATTTGTCTGATGATGGTGTGTAGCCATCAGACGGTTCACCGGGTACAGACGAGTAGACTATTCTCGTCAATTATCTTAACTCTAATAAATTGGTTTAAATAAATAACAATTAAAAATAAAGTTACATTGAGTTATACGAGTATACCTTAAATGTGACGTGTCGAACAATGATTGGTTACCACGCTTTTGACACCACGATAGATGTGTTTCCCGGAGTTCTGGATGTGTGTGTGTGTGACCTCCTTCCCACACACCCGGATGCAGGTTATCTCCCAGTGGTCACCATCAACATAAAGTAGTTCCCAGGAGGCATAGATACAAAGCCTTACTCCCCCAATTATCTCATCCCTTATCTTATCTACTCCCGGATATTGCCACCACACACACACACGGAACCGTTTGGGGTAATACTATGTTCACCTGCGTCAGACAGCTCTATAAAAACTAATCCTGACTGACTAACTGACTTAATGCCGGAGATAACAATTACCACTTGATTTATATAATACTTCCCCCTAAACTTGAGTCATGAGAATACCATCTGACTCACCGACTCACTCGTAAATATGGCGGAGAAAATGACACAGCGACTCGACCAATGGAGTTCAAGTGATAACTGTTGTATAATGGTGTAGTGGACATGTCCCTTCGACACACCTGTCTTATCAGTAGAGGTTATGTACACCCTTATCACTCATGGTGGCTACTGAAGGTTAATTAGCCATCTACCTGTCCTGATACACCTAAATAGAGAGGAGGTGAGGAGGAGGAGGTGAGAAAAAGAAGGGCGGGGGGATTAAGAACACAGGTGTGACACTAGGAAGAGGACACAAACACACACACACACACACACACACACACACACACACACACACACACACACACACACACACACACACACATAGTTAATAACAATGTCCTACCTGGAACTGTATAATACTAATTAGTTCATTCCTTCATTCCTTCTCTCCTCACTCAAACTCTTTACCCTCCCCACTATTTCCCCGTCCTTCATTCTCTCCCTTACTCCCTCTCTCTACCTCCCTCCCTCCCTCCCTCCTCATTCCCTCCCTCATTCCCTCCATTCCTCCCTCATTCCCTCTTTCTCTACCTCCCTCCCTAACAGATAACACAGATAAGATAGTAAGTGTGTGTGTGTGTGTGTGTGTGTGTGTGTGTGTGTGTGTGTGTGCGCGAAATAATTTCTCCTAGAAATTAAAGATTATCAGAACCCGGTTGGAGGCAATGGTAACCTATGGACGGATACAGGCAGGATATGGACAAGTCTGGGTGAACAGAACTAGGTGAACAAAAGTATGTGAACAGGACTAGGTGAACAGAACTAGGTGAACAAAAGTATGTGAACAGGACTAGGTGAACAGAACTAGGTGAACAGAACTAGGTGAACAAAAGTTTGTGAACAGGATTAGGTGAACAGAACTAGGTGAACAAAAGTATGTGAACAGGACTAGGTGAACAGAACTAGGTGAACAAAAAGGGAAGTATATGTATGAACAGGACTAGGTGAACAGAACTAGATGAACAAAAGTATGTGAACAGGACTAGGTGAACAGAACTAGGTGAACAGAACTAGGTGAACAAAAGTTTGTGAACAGGACTAGGTGAACAGAACTAGGTGAAAAAAGTATGTGAACAGAACTAGGTGAACAGAACTAGGTGAACAGAACTAGGTGAATTGAACTAGGTGAACAGAACTAGGTGAACAGAACTAGGTGAAAAAAGTATGTGAACAGGACTAGGTGAACAGAACTAGGTGAACAAAACTAGGTGAACAAAAGTATGTGAACAGGACTAGGTGAACAGAACTAGGTGAACAAAAGTATGTGAACAGGACTAGGTGAACAGAACTAGGTGAACAGAACTAGGTGAACAAAAGTTTGTGAACAGGATTAGGTGAACAGAACTAGGTGAACAAAAGTATGTGAACAGGACTAGGTGAACAGAACTAGGTGAACAGAAATGGGTGAACAGGACTAGGTGAACAGAACTAGGTGAACAAAAGTATGTGAACAGGACTAGGTGAACAGAACTAGGTGAACAGAACTATGTGAACAAAAGTAGGTGAACCGAACTAGGTGAACAAAACTAGGTGAACAGAACTAGGTGAACAAAACAAGGTGAACAGAACTAGGTGAACAAAACAAGGTGAACAGAACTAGGTGAACAAAACAAGGTGAACAGAACTAGGTGAACAGAACTAGGTGAACAAAACAAGGTGAACAGAACTAGGTGAACAGAACTAGGTGAACAAAAGTATGTGAACAGAACTAGGTGAACAGAAATAGGTGAACCGAACTAGGTGAAAAAACTAGGTGAACAGAACTAGGTGAACAGAGCTAGGTGAACAGAACTAGGTGAACAGAGCTAGGTGAACAGAACTAGGTGAACAGAACTATGTGAACAAAAGTAGGTGAACAGAACTAGGTGAACAGAACTAGGTGAACAGAACTAGTTGAACAGAACTATGTGAAAACAAGGTGAACAAAAGTATGTGAAAAGAACTAGGTGAACAGAACTAGGTGAACAAAAGTAGGTGAACAGAACTATGTGAACAGAACTAGGTGAACAGAACTAGGTGAACAGAGCTAGGTGAACAGAACTAGGTGAACAAAATAAGGTGAACAGAGCTAGGTGAACTGAACTAGGTGAACAAAACAAGGTGAACAGAACAAGGTGAACAGAACTAGGTGAACAGAACTAGGTGAACAAGACTGGATTTTACATAGAGATAATAAATTCGTTTGTGTGAGGGGTTGCTGTTTTATCTTCATGTCAGGATTAAGTGGTGAGTGCGCCTGTGTTACCTAGAGATGTGGCGGATTGTACCAAGTTAGGTTAGGGTAGGTTAGGGTAGGTTAAGGTAGGTTAGGGTAGGTTAGGGTAGGTTAGGGTAGGTTAGGTTAGGGTAGGTTGGTTAGGTTAGGTTAGGTTAGGTTAGGTTGGTTAGGTTAGCATTAGGATGGTTAGGTTAGGTTGGGTTAAATTAGGTTAGGGTAGCATAGCATGAGGTTAAGTTAATCATCAGCTGTTCTGTTTACCTTAGCCTCATATACGAAAGATAATATAATATTAATCTAATCTTTCTCTTCTCTTTACCGTCACAGGAAGTGCCATCATACCCCAGCAGATGGCGTTACACCCCCTCCCTCAAGGCCAACCACCGCCGCTATCATCTAACCCACGTCCCAAACTTTTTCAAATTATTATCACATTACCACATTTCAAACCTCTTTTTTCCCCCTTTATCACAACGAAAATCTCTTCAAAAGACACACACCAAAAAAATCTTCAACTCACGCGGTTGTGGTGGGGGTGTGGTTGATTGTGGTGGTGGTAGAAAGGTTGACGGGCGGAGGAGTCTTCAGTAATGTACACACGCATGCACTTGGGTACCTCTGTCACTACTGGGTGCCAGGTCCCGGTGCCGCTGGTTTTATGTCACTTTATCGTTATCTATGACGTTTTATCTCTCTTGTGTAATTCGCTTGTGTAGTCGTGGGTGTTGTGGTTCTGGTAACAACACGTATTCTCAATTATATTTTTTTTAGTTTCGTCATAGTTTTTCTCCTTTGTTTGAAACGGTTTTAGAATGAGATAGTGACGTCATATGATTTGAAGTTTATATATATATATTAAATTTTTTTTTAAATCCAGATCAAGTTGTTGTTATTAAGACGTTTCGACAGGAGTTAGTAAGTTAATTAGACACCCCAGGTAAAGACAGTGTAGATTACGTTTGGTTAGGTTACTTTAGGTTAGGTCAGGTCAGGTTAGGTTACGTTAGGTTAGGTTAGGTTAGGTCAAGTCAGGTTAGGTTACGTTAGGTTGGGATAGGTTAGGGTTAGGTTAGGTATCTTTGTGTCCCAACTTACATCATAGGTCACTTGGATATGTTCTCAGGTCACGAATTAGGAAAAAAAATATCAAAACAACTGACTCTAACGTTGTGTCTCAGGCGTGGTGACCAAGGGAGGCTGGCTGGCATATATTCTGGTCAAGGATCATTTGTCATACGGCCGGTGTGTTGCTGGTTGACCACGATGATGTAACACCAACAGAATACTAAGAAGTGATAGGAAAAAATATATATTGTTCCCCCCACGCATGCACACACTTCCCACCCAACCTGCATGACTGATAACAAGATAATTTACTCTGGCTTGGGGGTCGCTGTGAACTTGTTATCAGAGGAAATTGATAGATGATTACCTGTTTGGTTAGTTAATCTCGAGGATCACACTACTACACCTAGGTTCACCTGGTTTATTAATCACTAAACGCCAGGTACACCCTCGTCATGGGTTAGTCTGTCTCCCATGGTATAAAAAAATTTCAACTAATTATGTTGTTATCAAGACTAAAGTAAAATGTAATGTTGCGTTATTATTAATATTATTTATTATTATTATTATTGTTATTATTTTTATTATTTTTATTACAGACAGTAACTAACATACAGCAGAGGACTAGGAAGGTCAAGAGAAGAAAAATTATCCCAATACACAGGCGAGCTAAACCCTAAGGTGTTCAGGTATGGAAGGTGTGAACCAATCAACAAGAGACAGGTGTGAGTGTAGTGGGGATGGTCAGGTCAGTGGCTCAGGTTACCCTCACACCACTATACAGTATATTCCACAGACTAGCTCAGTGTGTCATCAGTCAGTCGTCCGTTACACCTGCAACATGAAGGTGAGCCAGAGACACACACACACACACACACACACACACACACACACACACACACACACACACACACACACACACACACACACACACACACACACACACACACACACAGAGACACACACACACACACACACAGAGACACACACACACACAGTTTTAAAGAAACATTCTAAATTTTTATGTAAACTTAAATTTAAAAAAATGATCTATTTGTTTATTTTTTCTAGTTAATCGAGAGTCTTTGAGGGTCTCACGCCCCAGAGACTCACACCATAAGTTGTCACGATCATGACAAGTTTCTTAAGAAAATTATACTTGTTGGGTAAGAATTATTAATAATATTATCATTATTAATTTCCTTGTCACCAGATACAACTAATAGTTGTGTTGTGTGTGGGCGTGTGGTCCCAGGCGTGGGCACAAGACGCCTCCTACGTGTTAGACTCACGAGGGGTGCAGCTGGAACAAGGCCTCACACCTCCTCAGGAGCTCCTTAGCAACCACCAGGTCTTATCCGAGGCCTTCAAGCACCGTTCTGAGGAGTTGGCCAGAACCTACTGCAACGACCAAGTCGCCTACAACGACCCCGTGAGTCAACTTTCCTCTTAAAATTGTCTAACATTGTATTCGTCTATGTTAGTTTTCAAAGTCTCTTGAGTTAGTTTACATT